CTGGAGGCAGGGCCGCTCCCCCCTGCGAGGAGGCAAGCTTCAGGCCGGTGCCAGTCATATCCGAGAGGCAGCTCAGGCAGGGCTCAGAGACAGGGAAAGAGACTGCAGAAATGAACCACGCGTTGGTCTGAGGACCATCTGAATGGTGGACTCTGGAAGAGTCCAAGTCTTGCAGAAACACGGCCCTGTGGACACTCCTTAGCAGTGTCAAATTATGACAAATGGCTAAAAGTTGCTGGGTGGCAGCTGCCGCATCTCAGAGGGAAGCAGGTATTTTTAGCACCGTGCCTTGGGGGTTCTGGCGCTGGGTTAATTAATCACAGTGAACAGCACCAAGTTTTATTCTTCATCTTCGCCCCCACCCCCTCCCCAGTCTTGTTCTCACTGCCCAGCCTGGGATACCAGCTGCGGAGTTGGAAACTGCCCAGAGCTGCAGCTGCCTCACATGGCCCTCACACACCCAGCGTGAGGGAAACCCTCTCCACCTCTCCCCAGCTGGGCCTGCCTCTGCCCTCATTGCTGCCTCCTGTGGAGGCTGCTTACCTCCACACCGAGAGATCCAGGTTTCCTTTGCTTCTTCCAGCCCATTTCCTGCCCCACACCCATCCCCTAGAACATTGTCTCCAGCTCTCAGCCTTCACCTCCCAAACCCCTCATTCTGCTGAGCCCAAGGCTTCCTACAGCTGGATGCTTCCCTTCGTGGACCTGGGCCTTATGCGTTGTTTGTTTACTTCACTGTCCTCTTGCAGTGAATGCTGGCTGTCCCAGAGCAGGACCTTCTCTGTCTCGTTCTTTCTATTGAACACCCATTGCCTAGCTCAGAGAACATAGGGCAAACATGCAATGGATTGTGACAAGTATATGTATGTATGGGTGGAAAACTAGGTAGATAGGGGCTGGAGAGGTGGTTCAGCAGCTAAGAACATTAGCTGCCCTTCCAGAGGACCTGAGTTCAATTCCCAGTAACCACATGGTGGCTCACAACCATCTGTAATGAAATCTGGCACCCTTTTCTGACCTGCAGGTATACATCAGGTAGAACACTGTATACATTATAAATAAATAAATCTTAAAAAAGAGATAATTTTCCCTTAAAAAAACCAAAACAAAACAAAAAAAAACCTAGGTAGATAGATGGGTGGAAGGATGGATGAGTAATGACTAGATTTCTAGATGGATGGGTGGGTGGGTGAAAGCCTGCCTGGAAAAGGTGTTTGTATAGTGACCTCTCTTAGGCCAGTGTAACCATCATGAGAGGCACAGGACCAGGGGATTCGGGGGAAAGAATGGCTAGAATCCACAGCTGTCCCCTCTTCTAGAAATAGCTGCTCATATGTTCCATATGCTCTTTGGGAGTATGACATATTGCTCTGAAACCCATTTCCCCAGCATTGTTTTCCTTGGGAATGAGGAGAGACAGCCATAGCCTGAAAGTTGACATAATAAGTTCGTCTGACGGAGGCTGGAGGGATGGCTCAGTGGGTAAGAGCACTGGCTACTCTTCTAGAGGGCTCAGGTTCAATTCCCAGCACCCACATAGCAGCTGACAACTGTGCCTCCAGTTCCAGGGGACCTGAAATCTTCACACCAATACACAGAAAATAAAATTAAATAAGTTATATAAAAAAGTTCATCTGAGGATTAAGCAATTTCTTTTAACAATACACTCACTCTTTACGGAAGACAGAGAAGGCTGCCTGACCGCCTCTTTGTTTGATTACAAATCTCCAATTGGTTCTGATATTGGGAGGCCTGTGTATCGGGGGAACTGGCTTGAGTCTAGTCCAGGAAGAGAAGCATGACTGTGTGAACCAATTTTGGGTTAGAAATCAACTATGGTTGTGTTAGAGCCAAGTGTGGATTAGAAATGGCTGGGAACGCCTTTCTAACAGGACACATGGAGCTTCTAGTTTCTTAGGGTTTTGTGATTTGACAAAGAGGTGATGGGAGAGACGGGACGGGGTGTCTCCTCTCATTTCCCAAAGGAAGGACATGGAGGAGGGTGAGGGAAACTGTGTGGCTTCCATTCCTGAGGTGTCCAGCTCAAGAAGAAATGGTTTTCAGACCCCAAGTCATACATTATACTCAAACTCCGTAGCCTTTAAGGCATGCTATCTACTAGCCTGGACCCATTTTGACTGAACTGGACTCTCAGGGCGAGAGGCCTGGGTCTCTGTGAAGCTGCCGGATTCCTGAGGTCTCCCTGTCACCTTGAGTCGCAGGGAAGCTGTGACGAGCTGAAAGAGACTGGGGCCAGGGGCCCTCCTGACAATGGGATTCAAGGTCATGGATGCTTTGCTAGGTCTACATTCCTTTCTCTTGATACCTTGAAGGGAACAGATAGATCAGCAGTCCTAATTCCGAAGACATATGGGAGGGTAGGTGGCCTACAAGGCCAGGCCTGACCGTGGAACTTCCTGGCACAGGGGAACTTTCAGAATTTACATATTCAGTGTGAGTCACTGTGGGAAGGCTCAGGAGGCCATAGACCTGGTGACAGCCCCATCTCTGTTTGCTGTGGCTCCTAGGGTAAGGGGACCCCTTTGGTTCTGAGAAGCTAACTGGGGCCTCATTCAACAGCACCGGAGGAATTGGGAAAATGCTCCCAGTGTTGACCTCTCAGCTTTTGTCTCACAGCGCTTCAGCTGTGACTTCCGCCACTCCCTGTGTGAAACAAAGAGTCAAAGAATGAGCGAGGAGGGACAACAGAGGATGAGACTTGAAGAGACTCATTATTTCTGTCCTTCCTTTCACTAATCCGGGAAACAGTATTTATTGACGAAGAACCCAGAATGTGTCTAACACGCACCCCTAATTAAATATACTATAGACCCCATGCTGTTTCCAACGAACCCCTGACCTCCACCCACTCTTTGGCGGAATTCTGAGGCTGCGGTTTCTATGAAGGCCAGCAGGTGTCAATGTGTCAGCAGAAAAGCTAGGGTGCCTTGCATTTGAGAGCCACCTAGGGAATGGAATTCCATTTCTTCTAGTTATCTGAGTGCCATTGTGTGCAGGGCAGCAGGCAGAATTCCTGCATGGGAACAGCTCTAGGAATATATGGTCTCTGCTTTCTGGAGTTTACTGTGCCTAAGGATCCTGAAGAACCATGTAATAGTCGTAAGTGACAGGAGGAGGAGGAGGGTATGGGGGGGGCTTTGAACACTGGAGTCAGCAGAGAAGCCTTCTCCCACCTTAGAGTGGGGAGGTGGCTGACCCGGGGCCACAGAGCGGCTCTCAACTCAGGCCCTACTGACTCCTAGAAAAGTAGGTACTCTTTCCAACATCCTCAGTAATTGGAGTTTCTTGCAATTCAAAATCCCACCTTCATTTAGCTCCAACTGTCCCTGCAACATGCCCCCTCTGATGACTGCACGAGGGAGGCCACTGGGTATTCTACCTGCATCTCAGAGAAGGCAGCGGCCCTCGTTGTGGGCCCTGTGGTGCTACAGCCAGCGTATCCAGGCTCCGGAGGGCTCATTTGGTGCCTCGCTTCCTGGAGACAGCAAGTTGGTAGCTTGAAAATGATCCATGCTGGGAGTATTTACACTATGGAAATTGGCAGCATCTGCCCATCTGAGATTTATTTTTCTCTCCCAGAGAGCTGCACGCCACCACTCTCAGAAACTCCGGAAAGGAAACAGGCTCAAGGGGGAAAGGTGTTCTCTTAATGAGATTTTGCTTCCAAGGGATAAAGCCGGGACTCCAGCAAGAGGGTGGGTGATGGGTGCTTAGAGACCGGAGACTTGATAGTCTTTGAGGTCACTTGGATGTGAAGGAGTCTAACTTGATCCCAGGAGGCTTAACCTGTGTTGTTCTGCAGTGACAAAATAAAATATCAGAGGCTGAGAAACCTACAAAACAACCACCAATGAATTTATTTCCTTCTAATTCCATAATTGCACAAACAGAGACATCCAGGACCAAGGTGCCGGTGTCTGGTGAGGACCTCATGCTGTACAGGCCATGTAGAAAGTGCCCATGGCAGAAAGGCAAAGATGGGAGGGGACACAGGCAGGGCCAAGCAGAGATTTTTATGACAAGGGACCCATTCTAGAGATGGTGATATCCATCTGCTACATGCTGCTTCCTAGCCCCCCCCCCCTCTCAATACGGATAGGATGACAGAGTTTCAAAATGAACTGGGAAGGGGGCAGCCATTCAGACCATGGCACTAGATGCTGCTGTGGCTGCTGCCCAGGTAGGGTCATTCGTAGGATAACACAACAGCTTGGGTAAAAAGGTCATTTATCTGGCTCTAGATGAATTGTCTTTGAGGCTGGTTGTTGGGGAGATGGTTATGTTTGGAGCCCTGGAGGGAAGACTGGGCAAGAGGCTTGCTCTTAACTGAGCCAAATGTAGTTAGAAACTATAGTAACCAGGCAAAACCACAAGATTTACCAATACACATTATCCCCCCTCTCTTATTTGCTACTATCCAGGTATATTGAGGAACACGTACTTACTCATACTTGTTCCTTAGTTCCAGAACCCAGCTAGTACTCGGGAAGCTTTTAGTGAATAAATACAAATGGCTCATTTTTATCCAATAGGCATTCCTGTGGACCACACTTCAAAAGCAAGCGCATTTATCACAAGAAGCTCATCTAAGCATCCTAGCATCATTGAAGGAATATGCATTTGGGATCAGAATACTCCTTTAGCATCTTAGAGCTCATGGTGAATTAGCCATCATCTCTTATGAAGCCCAGATAACAGGCCATAAAACCACCCGTGCTTCTTGTGGGGTAGAAGGCTGCTCAGCTCCGCAGCCTGTGAACCTGACCTGGCCTGCCTTGTCTTGGCCAGTTTTTTACACTCTCTGGGATTTGGCTTTCCCTTGGGATTATAGGAACCCGTGGACTCTGGTTCTGAAAGGGGGATCAGAGAAGCTTCGCCTCAGGAGACTTGGGAAGCACTGGCAAAACTGTAGGCTATCAACCAAGGAAGCAGCAATATGCAAAGTAGTGAACTGGGCCTTCCCTTCTGATTGGCTGAAGGGTCTTGATGTCACAATGAGACCGATCTATCCACTCCAAATGATGGTGTCTCTGGCGCCCACATGACTCTGACTCAGTTGGTTTCTGGGCTTCCTCTCTGTAGGAGGAGATGATGGAAGCCCTCTTTCAGGCAGGGTCCATTCTTATGAAGGTGAATACCTTACAGGGCAAGAAGATGGTGGAGAGTGGGCTCCAGTCTGGGGACCTTTCTCTGTCTCCGTCCTGGCCCTCCTGCCTCCCTCTGCCGGCCGACCTGGAGATCCTGCGGCAGAAAGTGGCTGCGGTGCAAAGGGAGCTGGATGACTTCAAGAAGGAGGCTCTGAAGGCCATCAGTTACCTGGAGGACGCCTTCTGCGACATGAACGGAGTCCTGGCACAGCAGGAGGAGCAGGCTGCCCGAGTGAAGCAGCGGCTGAGGGAGGAGGAGGACCGTGGCATCGTTCGCAACAAGGTGCTCACCTTCCTCCTGCCCCGGGAGAAGCAGCTTCGCGAACACTGCCAGCGTCTGGAGAAGATGCTGGTCATGAGCCACGAACCGCTGCGAGTCACCAGGAAGAGCCAGGCAGACTGAACGGCCTGCGCGTGCGCCTGTGCTGCCGGGCAACTGGAAGATTTTTTTTTTAATGGAAGGACAAACGCTAAGTCCCCATTTATTCCCCTTTCCCCATTTTTATTGCTTTACTGCTACCAAAATAACACCATACAGAGAGGAAAAAAAAAAAAAAGACCTCAATATGGTTTTTTTTGGGTGAAGTTCCGTTTATCCAGCCTCGTCAAGGAAGGAGGCCCAGACACTAAGTCAGACCTGTAACCTTCACCTCGAACTGTTTCCTATTTGCAATGGTACAGTTGCTTGGATGTGTAGCATTCCCCCCCCCCCTGTATATTCTTAAAACCGGTTGTGTTGAACAGATTTACCTTTCTTTTAATGACTCCAGGCTTTTGTGATTTATGACTTAGCAATTGGTTTACTGAGACCGGCCAATGTGTGATCTACACCAGCGGCTTAGTGAGGGGGATTGCCCACATCCTGAAATGGCCTCAGATGGCTACATTGTGTAATCTCTGATCCCGCGGCTGGATTTTTCAGTCTGCTGGCATCGTTGGACTGTTGTCTGCCTCTTTTCCTTACCGCTTGTGTTCAACTCTGCTTCCTATCCTTTTTGCCCCTAGACTGGCTGCTCTGTATGGTGAACCCTGTTAGGGCTCAGACTGTAGAATGCTCTGATCTTACAGGGCGCCGGAGGGGACACTTGTAAGATGGCACAATAAAACAGTGACACTGATGCCTGCATTTGACTCGTGGAGCAGGAGTTTCGAGGGTGTGTAGTCTTTTATGAGACAATGAACCCCTGAGCCTCCCACAATCACCTTCTGAGGGCAGGGCAGGGCTGTTTTCATGTGGTAAGGTGACCTCAGGGAGCCTGGGCCTCTATGTCTTCTCCATGCTGGCGAATGAGTGGTGCTCCAAGTCCCGCCCACTTGTGCTCACTAACATCCGGCAGTCTCACAAATCCCAAACCAATCAGACTGTTTTTCGGGCTAGTCTCTTTGGGGTACTGGAACAATCACATGTGACAGGAGCCATTAGCAGTCACAGTGACTTGTGTTTATAGTCAGCCTGCTTCACTGGTTCATATAGTCTGTCTGTCTATCTATCTATCTATCTATCTATCTATCTATCTATCTATCTATCTTTCTCTGCAGCTTTGAAGCCTGTCCTGGAAATTGCTCTGTAGATCAGGCTGGCCTCGAACTCACAGAGATTCTCCTGCCTCTGCCTCAAGAATGCTGGGATTAGAGGTGTGCGCCACCACCGCCTGGCCTGATTTATATATTGTCTATCTGGTCCTTCCCAAAAGCTGCTATACATCACCCTGAGGGGGCGGAGGCCTCTCTAGTGCAGACCTTGCAACCTGGCTCCTACCCTCTGACCTGCTGCCGCCGCCTCATTCACCCTCTTTCTTTATCCACAGACTCTCTCAAATACCATGCAAATATTTGAATCCCCTCAAGCTGACCTTGTGACCCAAGATTAAGAATAATACCCATGCCTGGCACTGGGGGTGCATGTCTTTAATCCCAGCACTCGGGAGGCAGAGGCAGGCAAATCTCTGTGAGTTCCAGGCCAGCCTGGTCTACAGAGAAAGTTCCAGGACAGCTTCCAAAACAATACGGAGAAACCATGTCTAGAAAAAACAAAACAAAAAACATAAACAGACAAACAAGAAAAAGAATAATACTTGCTAGAAGGGCTGTATCTCTGCTCTAACTCTAGGCAGCTTCTGCTCTAGTTTAGCTGAAGAAGCGAGCGACTGTGTTAATTTAGCAGTAATATTGATAATCACATAAGAGCTTAGAGCCATCAAATACAGTGCATTCCCTGACACACTTCACGTTAGTGTTATGAGGAAACTGAGACTCAAGCGGAGTACATTGCCCAAGATCAAAGCTGGCCGACTTGGGACTTGAACCTAGGACCATGTAACTCTTTTAGAGACTGTGCTCTTCCATCCTGGAGTGTTTTGGAAAGCTTTATGGATGTCTGATACAAGCTTCTAGGGTGGGTGAGGCAGTGCTGAAACTGCTGAGGTTAACAGGGAGAGAGAGTTTCCTGGAGGGGATTCTTAGACCACTAAACACTGGAGACAGGCAGACAGAGACAGACACAGAGTCAGAGGAGAGAGACAGAGACAGAGAGAGGAGAGGCACAGACAGGAGAGAGACAGAGACAGGCACACACACACAGACAGACAGAGGCAGACATAGATACAGAGAGATGGGTGAAGAGGGGAGAGACAGACAAGAGAGGAGATAGATACACAGACATAGAGACAGATGGAGAAGACACACACACACACACACACACACACACACACACACACACACGAGAGTTTTCCAATGTAGCATGGTTAATGGAGGTCTGCCCAGGTACTAACAGGATCTAAAGGTATTCACAAGGAAAAGACTCAAGTGTCCTGCAGGTACAGGCTGCTATGCACTTGCTCAGGGGACATGCTGTATGTGTGTGTGTGGGGTGGGGGGGTTCTGAGAAGAGGTCAGGCACCAAGGCCACATCTGCAACCACCTACATTTAGTTTCGATCTGACATTTTGAGGGCCTTAGATAGCTAGAAGCATGACCAGAATGTAGGAGGCGCCAGAAGATCCTGGGACGGGGACAAAAGAGGAGGACCTGGGGGCCTTGGCAGAGATAGATTTTTGGGGAAGGCCCAATCATGAAAGACTCTACATTCGGGGTCTCGAGGGACCAATAAGTGTCACTTCTTCTCCTGCTCAGTTTAAGTACAGGATAAACACAGAAGATAGGCTAATGGAGACAAAAGTCACCTTTGGAACTGATAACTTGCTTGAAATGGTGGTTTAGGATCTGTCAGCCACATCTGGCTGAAACCTTTGTCCCTGAACCTGATGTCATCTCCAGGCACAGTGCAGGTAGTGGTGGACATCTGGGTCTCTCAAAAGGCTGCATCTATGGACGTGTGGGATGATCTGTGTGGCACAGAATGCTTGGTAGAGCGGAAGTGGCGTGTGCTGGGTAAACACCTCTCTTTCTCCAAACCCACTAGGATGAATGCCCTCCCCTTTCTTTGGGTGGGAAGAGGTGAAAAGAGAGAGGCCAAGGATGCTATCTGAATATATATCCTTCCACCGTGAGAGTCTGGTGAAGAAGCAAGGAGAAAGGTTCAAGTAAAAACATCTAATCCTGTAGGTAGCAGTCGTGACAACATATAGACGACGTTGTGAAGCAGACGCCCCCCTGTATAAGAAACCAAAATGATATTGGGTGTTACTACACATCTGGGCTCTCAAGCGTTGCCTCAGCTGATCTGGGATGAGGACATTTTGGGGAAAAAAACTTTCACATTTAAAAGATTCTGGAGAACTAGCCTCGGAGCGCCTGCAATAGCCTGTCTGACTATCTTTGCTTCTTCCCTAGGGCCTCTGGCCTCACCAGATGGTTTCTGCTAACAATGTGATTTATGGTCAGAGCCCTGGACTGTGCTGTATCAGTTCCACCTCTAGGGGAGCTGCAGGCTGCGGAACTAAGGTCAGCTGCTGCTTTCTGCCTGAGAGACAAGCCACCAATAAAAACCCTGGACACTAATACTCAGAGGAGCTGACCTGGTCAGCACTACTTGATCTACGCTACCACCATTGTTGCGGAAAAAATTAAGCATCATGCATACAAATGTGCCATGAGGCCAGCTGGACGCCTCCGGGCCTCTCCTTGACTCTGTCTTCTGGGTCTTTGCTGGTTTTAAACTGTTCTCCCACAGTGCTAAGCAGTAACCACAAGCATGGACACTTTATTTAGTTTTTGAAGTTCTTCCAGTGTATCCTAGAACCCGACAGTGTGATCCAGAGAGCCAAAGCAGAGTCAGTGATGCACCTGTTGTGATGTCATGAACTAGGCACTGCTGGTCCCATGGCCGATGAAGAAACTGAGGCACAGAGAAGCTTAGTCACGTGTCTAGGAGTCCCTAGGGACATTGCAGAGCTTGCCTCCTTTGCTTCTTTCCCACGATAAGGGAAAGAGCTTGGAGAAGAAGTGTGCAGCCTGGGTCCGGTCCTATGGCAGAAAGAAGTGGAAATCAAGGTCTGGGAACAGGAGTGGATGCAGAGGTATCTTCATGCTGTGGGGACTCAGACCGGCTGCCTTCACTTGCTCCAGCCTTATCTGCCTCATGCCTAGGTATCATCCTGGAAGTCACAGGATGCTAGGGAAACACTGCAGGATTAGTTCTAAAATAGGCAGACACTCATTAGAGATGTCATCACCATCAGGGTGGCCAAGCTGTCCTCATTTAACTGAGACTGTCCTATTTTAAAACTGCAGATCCCACATGCTAAGGGCCCTCTGGGTTCTGGGCAGGCAGGGACAGTCGGTCATCTCGAATCCAATGTGAAAGAGCTTGTGAGAACCCAGGTGAAGCTGGGGGTCGGATGAGTCCCAGAAGGGCGGAGCAGGAAACAGGGTGTTAGTGGCTTGTGCCGCCTGGTGACCCGTGCAGTTTGTCCTGCCATAGGAAAACCTCTGGTACCATATAGATTGGGGATAGTGGCACACCCCTTGTAATGCCAGCGCTGGAGAGTTCAAGGTCATACTCAGCTACATAGGGAATTCAATAGCCTGGACTACACATACCTTATGTTTTTGTTTTATCTGTCTGTCTGTCTGTCTGCCTGCCTGCCTGCCTGTCTATCTGTCTGTCTGTCTGTCTGTCTATCTATATATCTAGCTATCTATTTTTTAGAGATGGCTTGCTGCCTCTCACTTCAGCTTTTCTTCTGGCTGTGAACAGTGCAGCCCTACTGCTCACTCTCTGAGGTTCTAGGGCCAACAGGAGACAAAATAACAGAGGGTTTTCTTGCCAATACTGGAATTCTCAAAGATGTCCTAGGAGCTGTGCTCCTCTGCTTGCTTTCCCAAGCATCCCCAGCAATCAGAGGCTATAGTCACTTAAATATTATTTCATCAAGGGGAACACTCAGCAGTTAAGGGAGCCCCCCACCACAACCCTGAGGTCTCTATCTGTAGCAATCTGGCAGGTTGCTGTGAATGGTACAATGTCTGGAAAGCAAGGAACAGAAATACAGCCATGAAACATGCATGGAGCCTTGGGTTTGATCGCCAGCACCCTATAAACTGGGTATGATGGTGCATGCTTATAAATCCCGGAAATTCAGGAAGCTCAATTGAGAGGAACGTTGAGAGTTCAATGCCGGCCTGCATTACCTGGCATGCTGGCAGACAACTTGGGATACAAAGTAAGACTCTGTCTCAAAAGCAAGAAACACACAAAAATTCTTATAAACCAATTACCTTGAGTGACCTCCACCACTTCCAAGAAATCTCGGGGACTTGGAGGTGTTCTAAGACATTCATTGTACAAGATGTGCTTGAGTCCCCTTCTGCAGGAACACAGGCGACAGAAATGTCAAGAGGAGATAATCCCCCAGTCTCCCTTCCAGCCTGGAAGGGCCTCTGACCAGGCGATAGGACAGCACCATGGCTGGGTGGCCCACGGTGTGGACAGCAGTAGTCAGGGAGGCAGGTGGCTCTTCGAAGGGCTTACGCTTTCCAGGACTCCTGTCTTGCGCCTGCAGAAGGCGTCGTGGTGGGGGTGTTCTCTGAGGCTGTCCATCTCACTTCTTCCTTCTGACTACACAGCAGAGGGGACCAGGCTCTGATCCTCAAGTACCATTCACTACCCAGTGCCTACGCAGCCTGGGGCCCTCAGTGCTCACCCCACAGTCCCTTC